TTTTTTTTTTTTTTCTTTTTTTTTTTAATTTTTTCCGTTTTAAAGTGGAAATGGTTCTTGGAAGCACTGAGTGCACTTGGGCACTGAGTCAGCACTAGGGCTGAGCCGGATACTCAGCAGCAGCCCCTGTGCGAAGTGCAGACTTCTTGGGTACTCTGCTGGAAAGGACTGGTACTGGTGCTTCACGCTGGAGCTTTGGGAATGGTGCAGAGGAAAATCAAATCAAATCTGCCAGAATGGGAGCTGTGCCCTTCCTGTTGGTGGGCACTGGGCTGCCATGGTGCAAAGAGGGGCATTTTTGGGGGCTGTGAGATGAGGGAGGTAGGAGGAATGGTTGCTGTGAGTTTTGCACACCTGCTGAGCTCATATTTTGCAGCACTTACTGATCTCCCCCAGCAGCTGGGGTTGACGTGGATGGGATGTGGGTGTCTGCCCGTCCCTGGGATGGAGAAGCTGTGGGGGGAGGGCAGGAGGTGTTGGGCAGGGATGGAGCAGAGTGCGGTGCTGTGAGCAGTGTTTGCACTCTGCGTTGCTCCTTTCCTCCATCTCACTTGTGCATGGATGTAATCAGGGGAGAAGTGAGGCTAAAAACAGCAGATGAGACCATCAGGTCTGCAAGGCAGAAATACATGTGCTGCTGCAGATGGGCTTCAGGTGCAGTGGGATTTCCTGCCCCACTGGTGATGCTGGTGGTGACGGATGATGCTCCCAGCACAGCTCCTGCAGGGTGCTGCTCCCAGGAGATGCTCTGCAGTTGCTTTGCACTGGAGTTTTGCACAGGTTTGGCTGCACCACTCGGCTGTACATGCAGTGTGTCCAGTCCTGCCACAGTGTAAATCCAGCTGGGGCTGCTTCTGACTTCCCCTAGGGTAGACTGGGCTGTAGGTTTCCATGAGCTGTTGGGGTCTGTGTGCTTTGGGATTTCCTGTGGGACACTGGGTCTCAGGCTCCGTTGCTAGTCCAGAGCATCCACCCGGTGCCCCTGGCCCCATCACACATCCCTGTGTGAGCAGGGAGATGGGTGGGAGAGGGTCTGGCAGCGGGCTGCTGCTTGAGCTCATTGCTGCTGTTAAGGGTGTGCTCTTCCCCTCATTGAAGCCCAGCAGGGAGCGGTGGGTGAGGTTTTGAGCTTTGATTTCCCAGAGCCCGACAGTGGGGCGGTGGCCGTGGGTACCAACGCCCAGTGGGGTCAGCTCTGAGGAAATGGCATTTCCCAGCCGTTGTTCTGGGGCTGTGTGAATTCACAGAGCGTCTCCATCCTGTGCTGGAAACACTGTGGAGCAGCTGTGGTGCTGAGGGGGAACGTGGCAGTGTTGTCCCCCTCGGAGACGAGCGTGGTGCCACCCAAGAGCAGCTCTGCATCAGCATCTTCTGTGTGCTGATGATCTCTGCTTGAAACCGTATCCCAGGAGCAGGACAGCTCCCAGAAAATACCTCCCACGGTCCTCCTGGGATGCGTATGAGCACTATTTAAGCTCAGAGCTGCTCATGACATTGGTATGTGCCTTCACCTAGACCTCTGACTTCTTTGTGCCCGCTCTAAGCAGTGCTGGTTTTAGAGGGGAAAAAGGGAGAGCAGCGATGCTGTGCCACGCTCTGTGCACATACATGCAGAGAAGTGGGCAATTTCTCCACCCCTCACACACTATCTCCAAGCAAAATCCATGCAGCCATTTATATTTTGCCAGCAGAGACACCGTCCCAGTTGTCACCCGGGAATAGCTGCTGGTATTGTCATGGAACAATATTTCCACTATTTGTTGTGGTAATGGTTGTTAGTGGCACAGCAATTAGCACGGCACCTGCAGCACTGAGAAACCCAGCCTCGTGCTGCCCAGCACCGCTGCTGCGGGCACCGAGCGTGGGTGCAAGCATCTGCATCCCCCATGACCCTCTCTCTGCATGCAGTAATTCTGCACAGGGCCGTGGGATTGCATTGCTTTGAGCTCTGTGCTGGGGTGGGCAGGGGCACCGTGGGGGTCTTTAGGGAGCAGGATGGAGTGGAGCTGTGCAAGAAGGGTGGGCTGGGTTGGGATGTGCGGTGCCAACGCTGCGCTTCAATGGCTCCTGGAGCTGCTGGAACCCCCCCCCCTCGGTTTCCTGTTGACGTCACTGCTATTTCACTGCTGCAGTTTGTACAACTGTTGGAGCTTTTGAGTGTAATCGGAGTGGAGCCGCTGCCCTCGGCTCGCAGGGTCCCTGCACTGTGGGCTGCATCCAGCCGTGCAGCCCTGCTGCAAGCTGAGCGCCCTGAGCCCGCTCCTGCCTGCTGCTCTCCCCACCTCCTCACCCCCCCCAGTGCTCCCCGCTGCCGGGTGTGTGCCGTTTCTGTTCTTCATTTCTGGGAAGCCATGGACAAGAAGCAAGGTATGTGTTGCAACCTCCGAAAGGCGTGCTGGGGGCGAGCGGAGGGCCGGTGCTGGTGCTCAGAAGGGACAGTGCAACTCCTTGGGCTCAATCCATGCAGATTTCCATCTTTCTGCTTGCTGGGGGTGGGGGGGAAAAGCTCTGCGTTTGCAGCCAAGCATATCTATTTTTGCAGCCAGACGTCTATTTTTAAAGCTCTGCAAAACCTGCCCGTTTTTTTTTTTTTCTTTTTTTTTGCATGGGGTTGAAACACTGCATCTTCATTGCACAGAGCCAGCAGTGCTCAAGGAAACTCACAGGGCAGCACTTGCTCCCAGCAGCCTTGCACGCCTGTTGCAGCAGAGCCAGCACCTTGCTCCCTGCAGGCAGCTCACTGCTGCCCAAAAGCTTATTCCCTTAGCACTCTTTGTTTGGGGGGAGGCTGCATGATTTTTTTTTTTTCCTTATTACATTCTTTTTTTTTTTTCCTTCTGGCTTTCCTTCTGCAGCACTGGGACCCACCCTTCAGCTCTCCGTGGGTCGAGGGGGGGTTGGATATGCTCCAACCCCTTTCCCAGCACCAGCACAGCTCTGCAGCAGGGTTGGACCTGGAGTCTGGTGCTGGGGAGGTTTGATTTCAAAGGTCGGCTCAGGCAAACAGCCGTATTGACAGTGCTTCAGGTTGTCCTGCTTGCTTCTCTCCACCCACATGGAGTGGGAAAGAGAAACCTGCTGGGGAGAGGTGTGGGGGAACCGGGCTGGAGTTGTGGTGGCTGAGATGAGGGTTTTGGTGATGAATGAATGCGGTTCCAGGAAATGTCTGCTCTTAGCTGGTGGAGACTGCAGTGCAAGGGGGGAAAAAGAAAATGCCAGTTTCTTTTTTTTCTTTAGGAGGAAATGGGGACTTTCTTAGCATAGAGGATGTAGTTACGTGCTCGTGGCATCACGTGGTGACAAGTGTGGCTACACTGGGGACTTCGGTCAGCTCGTGTTCCCAGTGCAGTGCTGGGAGGGACAGGAATGTGTCCCCGGTCTACCCCATGCACGTGCTGTCACTTTCAAGCTGTGGAATTGGGCCTCAAGCTGTTGTGAGCAGTGGGTAACACTCGCAGGCTCTGTGCTGCACCTTTTCTTCTGCAGAAACCCTGCAGAACAAGAGCATCCCCATTGCTTACAGGCGATGGAGAGCATTCTCCTCATCCCAGCCGTGGGAGGGAGGTGCTGGGAGCAGGCAGCTGCTGGGGGAGCGGGGAGCAGCTGCCTGCAGGGACACTGGGATTGAATTGCAAGGTCGTGCTGTGCCCGTCCCACTGCGCAGCATTCCTCTGGCAGTGGGCATGGAGCTGGGCAAGTGGGATGGGGCTGCAGGTATGTGGGGTGCTGTGGTGGGAACAGGGAGAGCAGCAAGATGCAGCCCTGCTTTGGTTCCCGAGAGTTTGGGAGCAGCATCCCAGAAGGAGAGCAATGTATTTTATTTTGGTGTGGGCTGATGTGCTGAGGTAGGTTTTTCTAGCCCGTGCTTTGGCAGCTATAGGAAATGCTTTTGGGGGCTGGGCACAACCGTGGGGAAGGGTATGCTGCTGGCCCTGCAGAGTGGTGCTGCAAAGTACAGGGCAGTGTTTTGGGGCTGTCAGGGTACAGGGCCTTCCTTACAGCAAAGTGTGAGCTCTGCTCTGTGGGGTGTGACCGATGTACACAGACCTTGTAATCCTCCTGTGCAGTGCAGAGGTTTTGCACAGGGGATCTCCCCATCCTGCACAGAGCCACTCACCCATGCTTGCAGATGCTGTGTGTGTAAGGGTGTGTGCATGGATCCTGACCTTGAGCTCCCTGTGACCCCGATCTGTGGGGCTGATGCTGCAGCCTCTGGCACAGCGTGGATGCTGCTCCCCCTGCGTGAGTCACCGCTATGCTCTGACCCAGCACTGTCAGGGAGCTGCACAGAGGGAGCATTGTGCTCCTGCTGGGGGTTACTATGGCAATTGGGGAGAGGGAGAGCAAACAGATACTGTAATATAGCAGCCAGGATGGGGGGCATTTCAGGGTTTGGTATGAAGGGAAAAAGCAGATGGAGGGCGTTCAGCTGGTGCTGCCCAGGATGTGGGGTGCATTGAGCCAACAGGAGTTGGAGGTGCTTGCTGAGCCCAACCTGGGGTTGTTTTGGGGGCATCCAGCAGCTCTGCATCCACAGGGTGATATATGCTATTGTCCCCATCTTGGGATGGGATTGCGTGCCCTGTGCAGCTCTCCCTCCCACTGGCTGCAGGAGGAAGCTGCAGCCCCACGTCCCAGCTCTGTGCCCTGCCCTGGCTGCAGAAGAGAAGGCACTGCTGAGCCAAAGGGCAGCGTCTTGCATTTGGCTGCACTTTGTGTTTGCACAGCCAGGTATTTTGCAGTGCAGGGCTATTTATAGCTCCCTGTCCCATCCTGGGTATGGAATTGGGAGCAGCCTCATGGAGCAGGTGCTGAGATGCACAGAGGACTTGCAGGGCTCTGGGGCTGGTGCTGCAAACCACAGCAACCCCATATCCCTGTGGGTCAGCAGAGCAGGGCTCCAGCTCCTTCCTGTTTCAGTGCAAGGTCTCAACCTGTGCACACTGATCCTAGTGTTGTGGCTAGCAGCTCCTGCCCTGTGGTTCCCCTTGGTGTCACATGGGGTGTTCCCTCTCAGGGACAGAGTTGCCAATTGCTGTATGTGAGGCTTGTTGGCCCTTGTCCTGATGGCACAGAGCAGGGCTGGCTGCTCCCCTGCCTCCTGCAGCATACTCACAGGACCTGTCCCTTCCTTGCCCAGCTGGGAGTGTGCTGAGAAATGGGTCAGTGCTTCCCAAAGTGGGATCTGCTGGGAGCACGTTGGGGTGCTGTTGTGGCCCTGGGCACAGCCAGTGGCATGGGGACATCTGGTGGCTGTGCAGCCCAGGACAGGGCTGGGTGCCAACTACCCCATGGGGGTGTTTCTCTGCTCCTGTCTGGCACCATAAGGGATGTATGGTTTGTATTGAGTGCTTTGGAGTGTGAGCACTGACCTGATGTCTCCCTGCTCTCTTCCAGATTCCAAGGGATCCCTGGAGCCACACAAACCAGGTGAGTGCCCAACAGGCAGAGCAGCTTCACCCCCTCTCCTAAATGCCAACAATTGAAATCCCCCCCAAAAGAGGAACCCTTAATGGCCACGCGGGGGTGAAGGCTGTTGTGGGGGTGGCTGAAAGCAGGGCAGGGTGCAAGAGCTGCAGAAGTGTGCTGCAGCCCTGGGCCTGGTGGCTGCAGTTGTTGGGGTGTCGAAAGGAAGGAAAGTTTTTAAAAATGCCCATTGCTTATGTGTGCATCTTCCCTTACAGTGAAGGGCAAGAAGAAGCTGAGGATAACATGTCCTCCCATCAAGCAGCCCCCTGTCAACACCACGTGAGTGCCTGCTCCTGCAGCCAATTCTAGGATCTGCAGTAAGCTGTCTCAGGCCATGTGGCCATAAAAGTGTTACCACATCAGCTGGTTGGGGTTTTTCAACTGGAGCTCTGGCTTCTCAGTGATGAGAAGGAATTGCACTTGTGCACACGCATAGATTCTGTGTGCCTCTGGGAGCTGCCTGCAGGGCTAGGATCTGTAGCAGGAGCAGGGGTGAAGGTGCTGGGTGCTGTGGAGCAGCCCCTGCCCTCAGTTGGTGGCATCCCCTGCCCCGTGCCTTGGCCTCTGTGAACCCATTGAGCTGCCCATGTTGGTGCAAGGAGGATGTGGAAGCCTTGTTGTTCCCCCCTGCTGTGCTTGGGGCTGGTGCCTGACTGCATCTCAGGCACTGGGATTTCTCTGCGCCCTGTTTGCTGCTGCTTGGTATGTTGTTATGCTGTGTGTGAGGAGGCAGGACCAGGATGGCAGTGCTAGGTTTGACAAAAAGCAGATGGCTGAAATTCCTCCTCTGTGATGCATCTCCACCACCAAGTTCTGCTCTCTCCAGAGAGCCAAAAAGCTCTGGGGGAGCAGTGAATCCCTCGCTGGGGGCACATCCCTGCATCCTCAGGCAGGGCAGATTGCGTGGAGCCAGGATCTCCTGTTAACAGCCCACAGCCTGGTGTGTAGACAGAATCCTGCATGCAGAGCTGTCTCCCTCTGTATCTGAGTTTCCCCTGGAGCAGATGTCAGCTGCAGTTTGCAGGGTGCTTGCATGCCCAGAGCACTCCTGTTCAGACTGGTTCTAGGCCCCCACCATTCCTTTTCTCTGCACTTTTCAAGGCACATTGCAAATATTTGCACAGTGCCAGTGCTTTTGCTGCAAGCCTGAGCACTTCCTTGAAGCTACTGCAGTGCTCTGATGGGAATGAAGATGATGAGCAGATTGCACAGTTCCAGCTGATAGTGTCAGAGGAGTTGAGCACAGGAGCAGGGCAGGATCAAAAGGACAATGTGTGCCTTAAATCCCATCCTGACAATAGGGGCGAATGGGAAGCCACGAGGAGGGGAAAAATCCATAAAGGAAGACTTTTGCCTACATGGTGTTGTGCAAAGTGTGACGCTGCTGGCTGCTCCGCATGCCAGGCTGCCTGGAACAGGCTGTCAAGTGTACACAAATGACTCAGTGCAGAGGAATTACCTGTTGTTTCCTAGGCGTGTTTGGGGTGACGTGGCTGTGCTGTTACAACACCTGCCTGTCAAAACACAGCAGCTGCTCCTCTCCCTGCATGGGGATGGTTTCATAGCTTTGATGCAGCCTCACCTCGCTGCTCCCTGGGCTCCTGCTGGCTCTGTGGTTGGTGGTGGCTCCATGAAAGCCTTTGGGAGTGTTTGAAGGGGGCTGGTGTGCACCCTTAACAATGCACTGTGGGAAGCAGTGGCTGAAAGCACCTGGGGGCACATGAAACCTGGCACTGGAGAAGGGGGTTTTGAGGTTGTGCTTTTTTCTGATTCCCTCTCTCCTTGCAGGCCACCAAGGAACCTGGACTCCAGAACCTTCATCACCATTGGAGACAAAGTACGTGTCGATGTTCTTCTTTCCAGTTCTGCTTGCCTCCTGTATGGGAGTAGCATGGATCACACTGCCATGACAGCTTGTCAGATTGGATCTTTGTGATCCCAAGCATCCTTTAAGCTCCAGTGCATCCTCCTGGTGCAGCCTCATGGGATGCATATTTGGAGGGGGATGAGGTGTCCTCAAGCAGGACCTTTTCCCCTGTTGGCTGTGGGTTTGTGCCAGTATTGAGAGCATCAGGGAGATAGGAACGTGTGGGGTGAGGCTTTGGCCTTAGTGGGATCCTGCTCCATTGGCAGCCTTCTCACTCTTACCCAGCCTGCCTGTGCCCTGTTGTCCCAGCCCACGTCCCCTTTGTCCCTGTTGCTGCTGGCATCCCACCAGAAGCTGGGCTCAGAGCTCCTCTCCAAATCCTTTCCAAGCTGCCTGATGAAAAACACTGCTAGAAATAGCTGCCGCCTCCCTTTTATTTCATTCTCTTGTTACAGGCTCTCCTGGGGCTGCAAGTGACCTAAAAATACGGGGTGTTGGGTCAGTCCCATCCTTGGTGCAAGGTTTTAGGTTTTGAGGGGAGACAAGCAGCCTGGCCTGGGTGCAGGGAGCAGCCCTGCTGCTGGTGTTGTGTTCTAGCTGTTGTCGTGTGTATTAATGGCTTGGGGAGAGACTGTGCAGCAGCTTGTGCACAGAGTGTGCAGTGGGAGAGCTGCAGCCCGGGGGCAGCTCTGCAGACTGTGCCCTCCCTGCAGTGCATTGTTTTGAGGGATTCTGCATCTGTGCTCTGCCTGCCCTGAGATCTGCAGCTCAGGTTTGCTCTGGGTGCTTAAGAACAACACAACATGGGATGGAGGAGTGGTGGGTGCAAGAACAGCTTTGGGTTGTGAGATGAAGGGTGACTGCGGGTCCATCTGATCCATGCAGAGCGGAGGGCAAGGGGTGCAGTGTGGGGTTCTGTTCTGTTGGTTCTTTATCTCTGCAGCTGGCAGGGCTGTGCTGGGAACTACCAGTGTCCGGGGAAGCCTGCGGGTAAATGCCAGGAACAAAAACACAATGCCCTGGAACAATCGTAGAACACGTGTCTTGAAAAGCACCACTAGGTCCTTCCTGGAGGCCCCTGCAGGAGCTGTACGCCTGCACTGTGCCTCTGCCCAGGGCAGTGAGGTGGGGGCTGCACGAGCCCCATAGTCCCATTGGATCCTCTGTCCCACCTGGGACAGGCTGCGACTTCCCTATGCCATGCAGCGTAGCTTCCTGCTGAGCTCAGCCCCAGACCTCCCTCAGCTGGCCACCATTCCCATCTGGCCCAGGTTAGTGGGGCTGGTGGCTAGCGTGGCCACCAACCTGGTAGCCCTGACTCCCAGCACACCGCTGCCCTTCTGCTCTGGGTGTAACACTGCTTCCAATGCTGCGCAGTGCTTTTCCCACCCTTTGCTGCTGCTGGGTCAGTTTGGCATCCCAGTGTTATTTTTGTTCCCTGGGACCGGAGGGAAGCTGCAGGCTGGATGAAGTCCTGCCTGGTTGAAAGGAGGTCTGTAACTTATTAAGAGCGATGAATGCAGCCTCCAAAAATAGCCCATGTCTCACTCCAGCAGCGTATGCCCTGCCCAGCAGAGCAGACAATTACAGGGCAACGTGTGTTGGGGGGAACTTGTCTGTGTGATGTGGAGAAACTCACTGGCAGAGAGGCATTGAGTCTTGGGCCTCTTCCAGAGACGTTGTGCCTTTGGCAAATCCCAATCTCTAGCTTAAAAGGGGTATTCAGTGAGCCCCAAAGGAGCCAAAAATACATCATCTGCTCTAAGTGTGGTGGGCTGCTGGGATCATGTAGGTGGTTTGGGCATGCTCTGTGTGGCTGAAGTGCAAGCAGTGAACTTTGCCTTTACAAAAAATGTGCTCCTGCCTGATTTTTATTTTATTTTTTTCGTTACCTTTCTCCTTACAGAACTTTGAGGTGGAAGCTGATGACCTGGTGACTATTTCAGAGCTGGGCCGGGGGGCCTATGGTGTGGTGGAGAAAGTGAGGCATGCTCAGAGTGGCACCATCATGGCTGTGAAGGTGAGGATGGCTTCCTCCTGGTGGGACAGAGGGTCTGTGGGGCAGAACGGGGACAGAGATGGGGGTTTGTTGGATTTGGTACCTTCCTGTGTCCCCTTGCAGCCCAACGTGGCGCTTAGGTGGTGTCATCCATTGTGGTGTTGTTTGTAAGAGGTCATCTGGGCATCTCTGGGGGCTGTGCTGGCTACAGAATTCCACCTACATCAAAACCTTTTTTTTTTTTTTTGTCTTAATATTTCTCAGAGGATTCGTGCCACAGTGAACACTCAGGAGCAGAAGAGGCTGTTGATGGACTTGGATATCTCCATGAGGACAGTTGACTGCTTCTACACTGTCACTTTCTATGGAGCCCTATTCCGAGAGGTGAGAGGCTACTGTTGCACAGCTCCTTGGGTCTGTGTGTGTCCTCTGAATGCACAAAACTGTCTCAAACCACCTCTGTTTCCTACAGCCAAAGTGGGCTGGTTGAGGTGGTGCAAAGCCCAGCTGTTGCAGGAGGCAGCAGATCCCTTTCCGTGCTGCAGCAGCAGGTGCCCAAGCATGTTGGCAGTGGGCTGGGCTGGATTTCAAGCAGGGCACTCTTGGATGTGGCTGTTGGGAGTGCTATTGGTGGTACCCTGACATCAGTGCCCATTGTTATCAGGTGCATGCTGGTATGTGGTTGGCAGTGGCTGCAGCATGGGGATGTTGGATTGCCATGGGTGGAAGTATGGTGTCCCTCTGTCTGCCCCCACTGTGTCCTTTGGCTCCTGGAGGGGGTTTGGAGGATTTTCTATAGCTACTTCCTCTCCACCTGCAGGGTGACGTGTGGATCTGCATGGAGCTCATGGACACTTCCTTGGATAAATTCTACAAGAAAGTACTGGAGAAGAAGAAAACCATCCCAGAAGACATTCTGGGGAAAATGGCTGTGTCTGTGAGTGCTTGTGCCCTGTCCCCCCTCAAGCACATTCATGTTCTGTGGTTTGCACTCTTACTGGGGTTTGCTGAGTGCTGAGCTACATGTGGCTAATGGTGCTCTCTTGCTCTGTTTGTCTGCAGATTGTACGAGCTCTGGAGCATCTGCACAGTAAACTGTCCGTAATCCACAGAGGTGGGTGCCGAGTGGGATTCATGTAGTGTGCTACAGTGCCTTGCAATGTGTTATGGGAAGGCTCCTTCCAAGGAGATGTGTGATGTGTGCCTCTGGAATGCCTACAGTTGGGGTCTGGTGGCACTTGGGGCCATGGTGGATACACTTAGATGCCCTAGGCCTGTTTCAGTGGTGTATCCTTCATGCATCTGCTTACTTGATGTTCTCTTTCTCCTTTCCACATGAGGGGTTGGATATAATGACTGAATTCTTTGCTGTCTATATTTCTATAGGCATCTCTGTCTCTGAGTACTGAGATGCATTGCAGGCAGCACTTAGGGACAAAATCGCATATCCTTCCTGGCTGGGTAGTTCTGGCAAGGGGAGAGCTGAAGAAGACCTTGCAAATCACTGATGGGCATCATAACAGCCAGGTCCTGCTCTTCATCTTAACACAGTTTGTCATGTACTTGTGCACAGGTCATGATGGGCCTGAGACGAGCTGTCCTGAGAGCTTGGTTGAGTTTTCAAGGCTGTGTGTTTGGTACATAAATTGCTCCTGAGGAACTGCGTGTTCTGTGTAAAACTTAGCATTTTATTTCAACTGTGTAAGGGCCAGAGTGGGGGATTTCTCCTGTTTTGTCCACTGCTGTCCCTCCCATTCCTTCTCATCAGGGTCATCAGGGAGTTCCTTGTGCTATCCCAGGCCCCATGAGACCTCTACGAACGCTCTATCTGTTCTCTCATGTTCTTTGTTGTAGATGTGAAACCTTCCAATGTGCTCATCAACAAGGAGGGACATGTGAAAATGTGTGACTTTGGGATCAGTGGCTACTTGGTGGACTCGGTGGCAAAGACAATGGATGCTGGCTGCAAACCTTACATGGCTGTAAGTGGGCTTATGTGCAATCCATCCAGCCTCACCTCGAGAAGGCTGCTTAGAAACTGGTACTGGTCTTGGCTCACCTCTGTCCTGAGATTGAAAGTGTGTTCTGGGTTTCCTGACTCAGCAGTGCCCTCCAAGGATGGGATTCCCCTCCCTGTAAGCCCTGCTGTTTAATAGACTTATAGAATCATTAAGGTTGGAGAAGACCTCTGAGATCACCAATGCCAACCCATCCCACCATGACACCAAACTGTGTCCCTCAGTTCCACATCTCCATGGTTCTGGAATATCTCCAGGGATGGGGACTCCACCACTGCCCTATTTGTGTCCATGTGGTAGCAGACTCTTCCTGTGCCCCCTTTCTTTCACAAAAGGGTGAAAGCCTGGCTAGTGTTGGTTGTAGTGGGTGGAATCATAGAATCATTAAGGCTGGGAAAGATCGCTAAGATCATCTAATCCAACCACCAACCCCCCCCCCCCCCCCCGCCCCGTTGGGTTGGAAGGCTGCTCTTGGCTAGAAAATGCTGAGGCTTTCCTTAGAAGGATCATTTTGTCTGCAGTTCATGACAGTGGTGTGGAGGAGCTCCTGCTCCTGGGGCAGGCACCCTACTGCAGGGATGATACAGGGGAGCGGAGTGCTTGTGGAGGTGATGTGGAGTGGGACGTGGCACTCACTGGTGCTTGCAGATGTAACCTCAAACTCTGCCTCTGTGGGGATGTGAGCCAGGGGAATCTACCCAACCTGGGTTTTGGAGCCAGAGATCGGCTGTGTGTGGTTTGCACTGTGAAAACGAGACAGAACTGTAATATCTTCCGTTTTGCTTTTGCAGCCAGAAAGAATAAATCCTGAGCTGAACCAGAAGGGCTACAACGTGAAGTCGGATGTCTGGAGTCTGGGGATCACAATGGTAATGCAGAGGGCGGGTGCCAGCACAGTGATGCTGGGGTGGGCTGGGGTCTGTGCTGGGGGCTCCAACCTCGAGGTGGTGTGTGTGGTTAGCAGCAGCCCTGCCTGTGGGGCAGCTCACAGCAGCCAACAGGAAGGGGAAATGCTTTCAGTTCCAAAATTGCAGCTGCTCAGGATGGTTCCTCTGCCTCCTGCAAGAAATGGATCTTTCAGAAAGCAGCTGAAGTCTTCTGGCACGGGAGGACAAAGGAAATCCCAGCTGCTGGCTCAAAGGGAATGCTGCCTGGGAACAGTTCTGCTTTCCAGGAGTCTGCATCTCTTGCTTAGACCATTTCCCTAAAGTTTTCCTGCACCTTTTTAGCTGTGACCTTTGTTTTGGACACTGTCTCCTTGCATCTGTGTGTGCTGCACAGATCTCTGACAAGTACTCCCTCTTGGTATCCCTGTGCTGTGCAGAGCAGAGCTGTGCTTGCTGCAAAAGCAATCAGCTCCAGCTCTGCTCTGAGATGCAGGAAGCTGTGTGATGGGAAACTGTGGCAATGACGAAACCTGAACTCTTCCAGCAGTGAATGGGAGAGGGGATTTTACTGAAAGCCTGCCAGCCTGCAGCTGGATGGAGCCCCAACCTCATTCCCTCTAATATCTTCCTCCTGGGCTGGCTTCCTGTTTTGTTTACTTATTTCTGGAGGGGTTTGATTGAAGACTAGCCCTATTTATGGCTACAGAGCTGCAGGGCTGATCCTAGCTTTATTCATTTCTCACATCCCATCTCTTTGCCTGAGATGCCCAAGAGCTGTGATGGACTTCTTCCTGCTGGAATGGATGATGGAGCAGGGTTAGCTGCAGTGGTTTGATAGAGATCATCTTAAGTTATATTCTAAACTTGCTTTCTCTTGGGCTCATGGATCTCTTTGTGCCCAGGTCATAAAGCCTGCAGCCCAGAGTGCAAGTTATGTTGAGAAGAGCACTCCAGAAGCCAGTGCAGAAGTAGCATCTACTCTGCTTTGATTATCTTTTTAAATAACCCTATTTTACATATATTTGTCTGCTTCCTGTAAATGCATTAATTTGCTGAGCAGACCTCAAAAGGAAGTATTTTTTTGCCTCTAGGTCTTTGTATTTAAAAAAGGGTGGGTGTGTGTGTGTGGGGGGGAAGGTAGTATGACCCAAATTGAAAATGGTTGGTTAGGAGGGAGGCTTTTCATCTTGAACCTGCACTTGTGCAGCCACTGATGTGGGGCAGCCCTGGTGTCTCACAGTGTCCCTGTCCCCAGATCGAGTTGGCCATCCTCCGCTTCCCCTACGAGTCCTGGGGCACCCCGTTCCAGCAGCTCAAGCAGGTGGTGGAGGAGCCCTCACCCCAGCTGCCTGCTGAGCGCTTCTCCAAGGAGTTTGTGGACTTCACGGCACAGTGGTGAGTGTGGCAGAGGCTGGGCTGGTGTGTGAGCAAAGCGTGGGGCTGGGGTTGGCTATGGAGTCTGTTTCTCCCCTCCTTGTTGTACTGAGTTGATGTATCTGCTGCAGTGGGAATGGGTTTTGTTCTCAGTGTGACTCATCCAGGCTGCTTGGAAGGCACAGAGGTTTCTCTTCCCGTTTTACCATTGGTGCTGCTCAAGTGTTGGTGGGTTCTGGCAGTGTGGTGGTGGAACAGCCCTCTGGCAGCATCTGGGTGCCTCTGGGTGAACCTGGTTTGTGGTTTTGTGGGTTCAGCATGCAGGAGCTGTTCCCCTCAGGTTCTCTCTGCTCCTGGCCTGTTTGCAGGTACCACCAAGCCCTGGGATGGGTGGTGGGAAACCACCTCCTCTCCTTCCCAGCAGGGCTGCATGCTTCTGGGTTTGGCAATATCCCAAATCTGCCCTTGTGGTTCCCTTCCTGGCTGCTTCAGGGCCACATGGTTCAGCTCAGAGGGAGGGGAGTGGGTGCTGCCCACCCAAAGTGAGGTGTGGTTGGGCAAGGGGAGGTCCCTTCTGATAGACCTCATATAGGAAGAAAAAAAAAAGAGTAAGAAAAGATCCTACAGCCTTTTTTTTTTTTTCCCCCTTCAGTTTAAGGAAGAACCCTGCTGAGCGAATGAACTATTTAGAACTTATGGTAAGTTTGGGGCCATCTCTATTGGCCTTCATCTGGTACATGAAATGTGTTGGGATAAAAGGTCCTGGACAAATGGTACAGAAGGACACAGGGGTGACTTCCAGGCACACGGTGGGATGGGCATAGCGTGTGTAAGGTACAATGGTGTACTGAGTTCTGTGGGTGTTAAGGGGATTCAGTGATCAAGGCCAAGCTTTCTAGATGTTTTCTCCTTCTGTCCCACCTGCTCTTGGAGAGTTTAGGTCAACCACCCCAAATGATGGTAGTGCAAGCTGGGTTTTAACCTGGAAACACCAAACCCAAAAGTGTTCAGCTTTAAGTTGATTTAGCAGAGGGTTGTTAGTGAGGGTCGTATGGTTAGGTCGTGGTTGGACTCAATGATCTTTAAGCCCTTTTTCCAACCTGAGTGATTCTATGATTCTGTGACATCCATGGGAGTCTGCAGGGGATGCTGCTGTCTGCTTGGCCAGTGCTGTGACACCCCTGGGGCTGCTTTTGGACTGTTCCCTGCTGGGCCATGACCGATGCCTTGCTTCTTGTTGACAGGAGCATCCCTTCTTCACCCTACACGACACCAAAGAGACTGACATGGCCTCCTTCGTGACAGAGATCCTCGGGGATGACTCTTAACTGGAGCCCCACTGTTCCGTGCAGTCCCCGCAGCGGAGCAGATGCGGACTTGAATTCGTGATGGTTTGCACAAATTGTGTTTCTCAGCCCCCGGACAGCTCTGGGCACAGCCCCATCGCAGCCTCTTTTCTCTTTGCCTGAAATCTTCGAGGAAGAGCCTTAGAAGCCAACACCTTCACCCCTTCAAATGCTGGGGACACAGGGAGGGGATGGTGCCCAACCTTGGCATGGTCTGTGGGGAACTTCTGCCTTTCTTCCCCTTTGCTGCCTGGGGCCGGCAAAGAGAAAATGCTGCTGTGCTTCTCCCCCCTCCTTATCTGCCCCTAGCCCCTCCCCCAGCATTTCACCTGGTGCTCTGCCTCATGTTCCTGAGCAGCACTGCAGGAGGCTGCAGGGCTCCATGGCTACACCGCTGTCCCCGCACAAAGCCATCCTGATGACATCTGGGTGACCCTTCAACACCACCCCAGGCCTGACATCCCCTTCACTGCGTCATCTACTGCTCCCCTGCAGAGGAATAAAAGCATATTTCCCCCCCCAGTTCACCCCACCATGAGCAGCAGCCCCTGTTCTCCTGCTTCTTCCACGGACCTTCTCCTCTCTGCTCACCCTGGGGCTGCATGACACTGGGGGAGGTGGGGACGGTGAGCATCTACCACCACTCCTCATAGTGCAGGAGGATGCTGCCCCACCTCTCCATCCTCTTCCCCCTTTGGGGCTCATGTAAGACCTCACACTGTGACCCCATCACCGCCTCCAGCTGTGGCCACAGCCACCATCTCAGCCCCAACCCCCCACAGCCCAGTGCAGGGGCTGCTGCCAGTTGTACATTTTGTGTCTATATATAATGGACTTTGTAACATGTTTCCGGGTTTTACTGCACTTGCTATAAATTAAAGCCCTTCTGTGTGGGTGGGAGGAGGGAGAAGCGCTTCCTTCTCCCCTAAAGAATCTGCTGTGAGCCCCGCTGTGTTCCATCCGTGTGTGGGACCACAGACCGAATGCACCGCTGTGGGTTTTTTATTTTTAATAGATTGAGTTTTCAGAAGGATTTTTTTTCCTTTTCTAATATATTTGTGTGTGTGCGTGTGCTATATATATATTATATATTTTTAAATCGGTGATGATGGTGTGAATGTCTATGTGAGCAGCAGTTCTGCTGCCGTGACCAGCAGTTTTCTGGCTAGATTTGGGGTAGTGGCTGAGGTTTCTAGAAGACAAGCTGCCCTAAGATTATTTCTTTTTTTTTAAGAAGAAATGCATCTATTTTTTAATCGAATCTTTAAAAAACAAACAAAAAAAAACCACCCCAAAATAATGACCCGACACACTTTTCCTGAACTTCCTGCCCTGGAGGTGTGGATGTCAGGGTTCTCCCCCTGCTGAAGCATGGTGTTCAGCTGACCCCACAGCCCCACACCCTTTGGGATAGAGCCAGGCTGGGCTGTGCCTGGGGACATGGTTCAGCTCCCAGGAGAAGGGCTTAGAGCAGCACACGGTGACTTTCCCCTCTGTCTCACCCCGTCCCCTCAGTGCATGAGCCCATAGGAAACAGCACAGATGGGTACAGCACAGCGTGAGCAAACCCTGCCCTGCTTTGGTCTGACCCCTAGCCCATATCCCACCTCCTCGTGCACAGTAATGTGGCTGATGCTCTCCACAACCCCCTTTAATCCCACTCCCCAAAACATCCCGTGCTCCCTGAAATCGCACATCACCAGCCTGGTAGGACAGCTTGGCAGCTGAGATGCTCACTTGTAGGTTTTTCCATAGTTGGTCACTTTGGATCCCTTTTGATTTGCTGTTAAGCTTTTGTTTTTCCTTTTTCTCCTTGCTTTTCTCCTCCTGGAGAAAGTCCTGACTTAGTTTTGGGGCAGGAGAGCACCTTCCCTTTCTCATACTGGGTGATACCGTGGTGAAGGGGGCTTGGGACCCATGGATGGGGGTTTGCTGCTCAGTTGGGTCCTGTCTGCCCTGTGTGCTGAACTGGATCCTGCTGCTTGTGCCCTCCTGCCATGCACAGGGATGATAGATCTGGTGCCCACCAGCTTGGCCTGAGGGTGGGAGAGAATATTCGGAAAAATTTCTTCTCTGAGAGAATGGTGGTGTGTTGGAACTGCTGCCCAGGGAGCGGTGGGGTCACCATCCCTGGAGAAGTTCCAGAACCATGGAGATGTGACACTGAGGGATATGGTTTGGTGTCATGGTGGGGGTGGGTTGGGGTTGGTTTGTGAATCTGAGAGGTCTTCTCCAACCTGAATAACTCTGTGGTTCTGATGCAGCCCAGAGCTCCTCCAGCCCTGTACTGAGCACAGTCTGTACCCATGAACCCCTCCTTGTTTTCAATAAAATTCACCCCGAAGCACCCGTGTGCCCTCTTCCTATGATGGAGCATCCTCGTTGTGTCAGGTCCTCTCATGACACTCAGTGCTTTATACTGCTTGCAGTACTGGGGGTACCCCAGATTGCGGGCTGAAAGACCCCCCCGGAGCATCACCCCGGGCCGGGATGCGGGGCTCAGTGTGTCGGGCCCCCCCCCCGTGTGGGGCAGCAGCTCTGGGGCTGTGCTGCCAGCACAGGGTCGGGGGCACCGTCCCAGGGCCGCCGCGAGGGGGAGGCAGCGGGCAGCGCCGGGGGTCTGCGGGGCCGCGGCTCCTTCAGCCTCAGCTGTGGGATGATGAGAAGTGCGGGGGCTCCATCCCATCCCCATTTTTTCCCCTATGAGTGCTCCCTTGGTAGAAGCGGGGGGACACGGGTGGGGGTGCGCGGGAGGCTGGGAAGCCCCCAGGTGTTTGGCCCGGCGCGGGGAAGGGGCTCGGAGGGGGGGGGGGGGGGGGGGCTCAGCGCTGAGCTTGCGGGCTCTTCGTTTCAATTAGCAGCTTAATGGCTGCATCGAGACCCATTAAACGTGTATCAGTGCCTCCGAGGAGAGAACTTAAGCAGAAGAGGAAAATTCATCACATTGAGTTCCCCTGTTTGGAGAAAAGTTTTTTTGTT